TCTCGCTCTCTCCTGTTGGTCCTCCTGCAGCAGAGGTATGTGGTAATAGTCATCCACCTACAGTTTGCTCATTAGCAGCGAGTCCTGCTCTCTGCATGGGTCTTTTCATGTTCCTCAGTACTAACAACAACCTGAAGGAACGCGCTCTATCCTCGCTGGAAATGTGAAACGGTGTGCAGGAGTTGAATCGGGGACAGAACCCGCAGACAGGAGTAGATGCTCAGGGAAACCACCACCTCCATACAGGCAAATGATTCAGTACAAACACACACACACACACACACACACACACACACGACAAAATGTGGGAGCTGCTGGAAATACACCGAGATCGGTCTTCATTTGTTACTCCCTGTGTGATTTTTCTGAAGGCTGATTCAAACACTGATGATCGCTGCTGCGTGCCAATAACTTTAATGTGGCCCTTTTTTCATCGCACAAAATAACAGAGATTCAGTGATAACTCCCACAATTGTTTCGGCACCAAACGGCTCCTGTTTGAAGCACTTTTACTGCTGCGGTTCGGAGTTTAGAGCTTCCCTAGACTTCGCCGGAAAAGAAAGTTTCTCTTCTAGTGCAAGTGTGTAATGTTTATTGATTCTTTGTTGTCAGCGCGGAAAAGCGTCTGAAGCAAAATCTAAAAACTAAGCGTCTCAATTTTGTTCTTGTACTGCAGGAAAATACTACAGAGACCCAACATGTTCAAAACTTAAAACATTATGAAGTAAACAATCGTGTGAGTAAACAGAGACGATGAATTTGTCAGATAATACAGTACAATATATCATTTTATTGTAGGTTGTTTTTATTTCATTGAAGCAGTTTTTAAATCAGAATGTGTTTGGTGTTGTTTCTGTGAGGCTGAGTGAACAGCCAATCACGTAACTGGCTTTAAACCGTTCGTCTTGACTTGCAGACGAACACTTTGTGATGAAAGGAGGTGAAATAAAGGCAAAAAGTTAGTGTGAAAAAAATGGACTATGCAATAAAGAAATAAAAAAATGGAATAGGAAAAAAAGAGACCTAAAATAACATTTCACATTATAAACTATATTTCACAAGTATAAATTAGAAAAAAGAAAAGCTTCACTGTATATACATATATGATCACCATTTATTAATATGATTAATTTTTTAAATGTCTTATTTATTCATAACATTTTGAACCTTTTGGGTCTCCGTACAGCCAATACTACTAATAATGATAAATTCACACATATCAGCCTGCATATATCTTACGTGAAGATGCATTGTGGGATGCTGAAATGCGTTGGTGATTGTGCTACGCAGTCAAAACCTCCCATAATGAAGAATCGTATAATTGTTGGTAATTATTTTTAAGCATTTTTCACAGTAAAGAATGACGCGGAAGTTTGGAGATATTATCTATTTATTATATTATATATAGATAATAGTCTATTGTCGCTGTCCAATGAAAACCATGTATCTCCAAATTCAGTGATTTTTAAAAGTGTTTGTTTACATGAATTGGAGGATTAGGTTTTGCTTTATGGATTGAGAAAATTCTCATAATACTAAATAAACTACTTTAAACCCTATTGGTTAATGTGAAAGATGCATTGTTATAAAGCCAAAAACAGACTGGTTTTTATTAACTCGTGGAAGGTTTAGGAGATACGTGGTTTTCACAGGTCCACAATGGCATGCAAGTTAAAGCGCTTTATTTTTTTACGTCATAAAAGAAAACATTTTGAAATTAAATAACCTCAACTTAACCCCTGATGCTGCAGCACTTCCAACGATTTCTGTGACTTATTTCCATAAGGTGCTAAACCCCGTCCCTGCAAACGAAATATGTGGGTAAGCTGAGCTGAAGAGGTTTTACCTTCCTCCTCTACATCCCTGCTGGTCTGTTGCTGATTCCAGATCCTCCTGTCTTGTTTTTTTTTTTTTTTTTCTGTTAGTGGATAGAAAAGAAAAAAAGCAGCATTCTGATTCTATAATAATTACCCTGTCTCTCAGGATTCACTGCAAGATTCAGTATCTCACGTCTTCCAAAGGAGAAACATGCAAAACATGTTACGAGACGTCAACATATTAAGCTTTCCCTCTGTCTCTTCGTTCCTCCATCTCTGACCCCCCCCCCCCCCCTTATCACACATACACACTCATGTATGGTGCACACGAACAACGCTCCAACACAGACACATGACAGGGGTTGAAGATTCACATACATATGATTCAAAACCTCACTGCTTGCTGTCAGTCAGCAGTGTAGATGTGTATAATCACCCTTATAGAAACACTGTATGTATCTGCTCAAGATGAATATGACTGAACAGTGAGCAAAAACAAAATGGCTGTCCACGGCTGCTGCTCGTACATCGAACATACGTACAAAACCCAGTCACACTGTTTGTCCTGTGTGGCAGTGTTGTGTGTGTGTGTGTGTGTGTGTGTGTGTGTTGTCGAGTGGAGCTCCACGCGGCTGTGTGAACAGTTACCTGTTCTTCCACCAATTTAATTTCCAGCTCTTCGTTCATTCCGGAGGTTATCTCGTCCATGTACATGTTATATTTGTAATTGCCCCGGAGTCGGACTGCTGCCAAACCAAAGCACACACCAGAAATTTAATTTCCACTACTATCATTTTTGAACGCGATCAATTATCTTTTTGACATCAGCTATTTTCTTTGGGCTTTAATCACAATTTTGCCCCCTAGTCACTAAACTGAAAACAGTGGTTAGTCTTCAGCAGGTTCTTGACATATTGATTTGTTTTTATTTAGATGAATAAGTGTGTGGGATAAGAGCAAAATCTCATTTACATTCACAACTCTCTGACTGACTGCTTTTTTTTTTTTAATGAAGCAAGAAGGTCTTTATGGGATAAATTGGTTTGAATACTAACCAACTGATACATTCACATTAATTGGGGTGTTGAAATTGAAGCCATTACAATTATGGGTTTTCAAGCTGCAGTTCTCATCTCGTGACAGAACAAATAAATATACTGAGAAAACCGTTTAACATTTCTACTCTCCGACACTGTCTTTAACATCAGTTTTTTTTCCACATTAACTAGTTTGTTATTATTTTTAAATGAATTTATTTCATTGTCACATGTCTATTTCCAACCCTGAAACAACCAGTTTCCATTATTTTATGAACCCTTTTACCACATCTAAAAACACTAAGGGGGGTCCCTGTAACCTAAGCCACTTAAGATATGACTGCAACGTCCATTTATTACATGTCATACCCCTCTCTCCGTTTCCTGTTTATCTCTATTGAAATGAAGGATGACCATTAAGAACAGGTGGATCCTTTAAGAGAAAATGCAGATTTACCTATTATCTGTCTGTAGTATATATGATCAAAGTGTGGTATTGGTTTAAATGGTTTTGCGTAGCAGATATTATTTTGTTGTAGCGATCTAGTTTTAGTAGCAGTTTATAAGTTTATTTCTAAGTTCGAAGCGAACAACTCCTCCTGCAGTTACACTCTGAAAACCTGCAGACAAATGATTGACGACATAACAGACTTTCTCCAAAAGGGAACTCTTTGTTTTCAGACTCACTTTTACATCTGGATCCAGACAGTCAGGTGTTGCTCATTCAATGACGACTGTGGGATAAAGGAATTCAGCGAGCAGGAAGCAGGTGACGGGACAGAAATAAAGTGCCGTCTATCACCTTATTTATCTAATTACACTGAATCATTCATTAGCAAAGGAGAGGCTGAATGAATCTGAATAGCAAAGACACAAGAGAGGGGGGTGAAAAAAAGATGAGGGCACTTCACATGGAAGTCAATGAGGGAAATTACAGGAACAGCAGGGGCGGACAGGGGAATAAAATGTGACATGTAAATAATACAGGCCTTTAATGGTGGGTTATAAATGTGGCGGTCACTGAGGCAACACACACGAGGACAGACCGTCTGTCTGTCTGTCTGTCTGTCTGTCTGTCTGTCTGTCTGTCTGTCTGCACGGCAGTCCGTGCCTCCTGCTCTGTCTGACCCGAGGCAGCCTGACTTTACAGAGCTTAATACAGGATAAGTGGCTGCCCTAACCTCTCCACTGCTGAGGCGATCCCACCTGAACCAAAGCACTGATCTCGCTCTATTCTCCCGCTATCTCTTCTTTCCTCTTTCTTCTTCTTCTGCTTTTTTCCCCAGCAAGTGCTAAAGCTGAGACTCGCCGTCAGGGGCGAATAGGGCTCTTACAGTCGAATTGCTGCTGTCACTCAGCCTCCTGAGACCAGACCCATGTCAAGAACCCTGTCACACACACACACAAGCAGACATACACACATATAGAGAGGCGCTGGGGGACTCTGTGGTGTGTGTGTGTGGCATTAGTTGAACAAGTGACAACAACAGTTTTCCGTCTCGTGGTGGAAAGATGAAGGACAAGGAGGATGGAGGTAAACAAACCCAGGCTGGGCTTAGGGGAGCCGTGTACGGTGTGTGTGTGCACATATACAGAAGCACACACACACACACACACACACACACATGCATGCGTCGTTTAAGAAGCTCAAACGGAAAACACACACAAGTGAAATCCATAAAGATGTTCACTTCAGATCACATATGAGGAAACAGCATAGACACACACACACACACACACTTTCACACACACTTTTCACGTCACTACCTAACCTCACAGCAGACACATGCGCTGTCACTGCAGCTGACACGCAACCCGGGCAAATATGAGCAATGTCAAGACAAGTTCACACACATACACATGCACACACACATCGACATCAGCCAGATTTCTTTGAGTTATTGTGCGGAGCAAACTTTGATGTCATGCTCTGGGTTATGACACACTCACACACACACTCACACACTGTCTGTGTCTTTGAGTGTGTGTTTACAGTTGTTGATATGTGTGTGTGTGTGTGTGTGTAGGTGTGTGAGAGAGAGATTTCCAGGAGCTCCACATGTATGAAGTCAATCCCTGCTGTCAGAGATGCATTATCTAATTTTCAAATGAGCACACACAAACACACACACACACACACTCTTACCTTCGTTGCTGTTAGTTCCCGCTGTGCCCAGAGCCTGTAGTGATATAGTCCATAGCAGCATCGCAGCCAGCCCCGGATCTGAAGCCATGGTGTTCTCCCTTACACCCCACCAGTCTCCCTCTGCCTCTCTCTCCCTCTTTCCTCTCTTACTCCCTCGCCCTCACTCTCCCACTCTGCCACCCGCTGCCTCTCTCTCCTCTCCTCCTTCTTCCTCTGTGTCCCAGGGTTGAAGCGAGAGCGAGAGCCGGCGCTGAGGAGAGAGTGTGTGTGAGAGGAGTGTGTGTGTGTGTGTGTGTGTGTGTGTGTGTGTGTGTGTGTGTGTGTGTGCGTGTGTGTGTGTGTGTGTGTGTGTATGTGTGTGAGTGTAAGGGCTGCGAGCTCATTGGGTTGGAGTTAGAGCCTGCCTCTGTGGCTTGCTTCTGTCTGCCGGCTCCCTCGCACACATACACACATACATACATAGACTTTCGGCAGGCAGCCGGAGGGGGGGAGGGACGAGCATGTCTGTCAAAGTCTCACCAGCCAATCAGAGTGCAGGATCAGCCGGCTCTGCACACTTAATGCTCCCTCCTTTGCCACACCCTCCTGTACTACCTGCCTGGCCAACTCTCACTTTCTGTTTATCTCTCTGGGTCAAGACCAGCCCCCCACCCTTTCCCCTCCCTTGTTATTTGCCCTCGTTTGTCATTGGCTCTCTTCTCCCACACACACACACACACACACACTCACCTACCCAGTGGCTAATATCTGACTGATGGGATAAAGTGAAAACAGCAGCATGTCTGCGGGGCTCAAGTACAATGATCAGTTATCGATCCACCATATTGAATCATAAAGCCATTATCTATAGTATGTCCAGGTGCAGCAGAGTGTGCCCATACATGTGTGTGTGTGTGTGTGTGTGTGTGTGTGTTATTCAAGGACTATGATCATGTATTGATTGGTGTGATGGTGGGGAACTCTGCAAATGTGCCAGATCACAGTACCTGTCCTAATCAATTGCTTTTCCAGTCTGGTCACACTGCAACACAATACACACAATACACACACACACACACACACACACACACACACAACTTCCTTCACACACCGCTGCAGTGACCTGAGCTGTGTTGAAGTAAAATCATTACTCACACTCACTCACACACACACACACACACACACACACACACACACCCAGTGGTTCACAAAGCTGATAGGAAATGAGATTTTTACTCATGTGTCACGTCTCCAAAACTCTGTTTAGCCACATTAGTATTCATGAGGTGAGATTCATGTTTACTGATGTTAAACTGATGTAAAACTAATAATATACAGTCGACAAAACAGTCGCTCCACAAACGCCAACAACAGATACTCTACTCTGTTTTCTCCGCCGCCGTTTCCACTGTCAACAATGAACTTTAAGTTCAACAGTAACAGACAGTTACAGTGGTCTCCATGCCAACTAACATCAGACAATTATATGCGATTACCGGTACTGTTAGTAATAATAAGTTTTTGCTCTTTTTTATTACTACACTGATACCTCTGTTACTATTCCAAATGCTACTCATCATACTGTTAATAATGATATTTGTACTTAGTTGGTACTACTAGTACTGCTACTAATATTATAATAATATTAATCATGTATTATGTGTTGATTTTCTTTAGTTTCTATTATCACCACTATTACTTCTATTGTGACAACTAATAAACTACTTTAGTATTACAATAATAATAATGCTCACCATTCATCTTTTAGTTTCTACTTTTAGTACAACTGCGATTAATAATAATCATCATAAACATTATAATAAATACAGTGTTACTAATTCTAATCATACTGCTACTAACACTGTGTTTTGTACTTTGTACTAATAGTACAACTACCTCTAACACCACTACTACTACTACCAATAATAATAATATCAATAATAAAAGTAATAATAATGCTCACTATTAACACTTCAGTTTGTGCAACAATAATCATCATAATCAAAATAATAATAAATACAGTGTTACTAATTCAAATAATACTTCTAACAGTAACTTAATGTACTTTGTACTGGTAGTAAACTACCTCTACTAATACTACTACTATTACTACTAATAGAATAATAATAATAATAATAATAGATTATAAATTAAAATAAATAAATAAATAATAATAATAACGGTATATGAACTTTTTTTAAAGTTTTTAACCTATAATTTAGAATTGTTAAAGATAGTTAATCATTTTAAAGGCTGCATGAATAAACCTTGACATTACTGCGCCAGTATTTTCTGCTGTATAATTTCATCACACCCCGGGTACGGAGGGAACTTGTAACTGTGGTGTCATGTACACAGGATGAGTGCCGCGCGGCCGTGATCGGGGGTCTGCCAGCTCTGCTGCCGTGCCGAGTTTCCATACTGAACTTTACGCCCTGCGAGCCCCAGGACATGACAACACAACACTGTCACTGCTCGGCTGCCATCACGACACGGCTGCTGCTGCTGCTGCTGCTGAAGCATCACCACTTCTTTTGCCTTGCACACACACACACACACACACACACACAACAGGAAGAAAGGCGTTTCCAACTCATCATACAAAATATTGAGCGTGGACACACATGCATATGCAGCTGGCCTGCTAAGTGACGGAGATGGAGAGTTAGTTGAGATGAATGTCCAGGCCAAATTCAAGCAGCGCTCTGCTGGCCAACGCCCCACCGCCCTCACCCCCCCTCCCCTCCCAGGCTAGGAGACACAGGGGTTTCTGTGTGAATTGATAATGCTTCCCCCACAGCATGTATAGGGGAGCCTTGTGCCTACGTGCAACGTCCCGATAAAGGGGGGAAGCAGGCGACACACACATATAAACACAAACACAGAAACGCAGACGGATACGCATCACATCCGGGCAGACGTGGTTACTCTGTGTGTCTGTTTTGTCCCCAATCTGCAGTGTGTGTTCATGTGTGAGGCTCCGTCGCTTTGCCACTAGGCTGCACTGTCAGTCTGCCTGTCTAATAGGCTACACGCCTGTGAGGACAACAACACTGTCATCTTCACCCTGACGCTCCGATCTTTTAAGACCAGAGGAGAGCACACTCTCTGAACCCTTAAACAACAACCATCTTCACTAGAGAGAGAAAAAAATCACTGATTTCTGTCAATGTCTGATGTTGATGCATGACCAGAGGGATTTGTAGGAATCGCTGGCTGACAAAAAAAAAAAAAAAAAGAAAGAGTTCAAACACAGAGAAATTAAATCTATATTTTTCTATGAAGAATATTAGAAAAACAAGCGTCTACGTAGGAATGATTTTCCATTAAAATGTACTGCCTGGAGCTACTCGCCTGACACAAAATGTTTGTTGTGCTTTTTTACAGCCAAACATGATCTCCTCCACTGTGTTGTATTGAAACAGAAAATAGATGTGTATCCCCAGAAAACTCACACCGGCTGCTGCCTCAGTCACCTTTCGCATCTTCGGTATAATTGATTTTCTATGCAGAGACACATCAGTGTAACATCTCAGTTTAGGCAGCAAAGTTAAATCCTCTCCTCTTATTTCTTGCTAGTGGAGGTGTGGAAGAAGATTTCCACATTGAAAATAAAAAAAAGAAAAGAAAAAAAGTCCAAGAGTGTGTCTTGAGGCTCAGGTATTATAAGAATAGTAGTGCGGCTCAGAATATGAATATGGACACAAAGAGAAGTAATACCAATATTGTAGGGTCATTTTGTCCTTTTACCATAATTGAAGCAGTGTGAGGGGAGAGAAATGTGTGATAGATGTGCTATTACATACGCAGACTAAACCTCCACACACACAGGCAAGCTCATTAAAATGGCTCCCCATAGCTCTCTGCTCCCACAGTCAGCCTCTCAGAAGCCTTGTTGTTGTATACTCATACAGTATATGCATCCGCCATAATGAGAAAATTTACTAACGACTCTATCGCAGCGGCAACAAAGTAGGGAGTCCCCCTGTATGTGTGTGTGTGTCTGAGTGAGACCACCTTGTGATGATAATAAGTCCACCTGGGTGTACCTGGGGAGGTGGGGGGGGGTTGGGTGGGGGGTGGTTGGGGGGTGGGGGGTGGGTGTCTATGAGGCAGCACGTTGGTATTAAAGACCCATTAAGGTGTGTGTCAGTACACGGCGCTGGTAACGTGTGTGTGTGTGTGGTGTGTGTGTGTTGTGGTGTGTTCGTAGTGTGTGTGTGTGTGTGTGTGTGTGAGAGAGAGAGAGCAAGCAGATGGTGGGGGTCAATGCGCGCCTACTGTTGTGGGGCTTGTTGGTGTGTGTTGGCTAAATATAGCGCGGTGGTGACAGAGCTGCTCAGAGCACAGTCACTGACTCTGTCACCGCTCTCACTTTAATTCTTTGATCAGCTCAGCTCCGTTCATTTCACCTCAATGTAGTCGAGTCACTTCAAAGCCTGTGAATTCATCTTAGGTAAATTCATTTCAACTGTAAACCAACAGGCCGTAGAATGACACTGAGAGCTGTAATTTCACCTGACAACCCCTCATCATCACCAATTAACATAATGACCAGAAAAGTATTTTCACCTAATTTTCTTTAACTTACTTTATAATAGTTTGATATAATGTAGGCAAGGCTTTTATTTTATATTAGACACAGGTCTTTATTTCTAATTCACCCTGTGTTATAGATACAGTATATATATCATATTTTTCTGTTGTGCTCCTGTTTGTATTTGCTGATGATGCTGTTTGCTGTTAATGCAATGTCTGAACTTCCTCCATGTTTACCTGTTGATCATGTTAATTTCCACAGTACTGGTACATAGTATTACAATAGCAGGTCATACTTACCACACTGAGTTTCTCTCTTTTAACAGAAATATTGTTTTAATTCACTTTATAATTCATGATTAATATATTCTATTTGGATCTACTTTGCTGTTTTTTCATTTCATTTCAACTTCCTGCACTAAAGCAGATCCTGTCTATTTTCTGAATTTTCTTAATTATATGATTCAATTTCCTATGTTTTTAGTTCTTATTTTGTGATATTTTTCATTTAAGACACTGACACTGGAAACAAAATATAGTCTAAATGTAGTCGGACATTTTGTTGATCCA